TATCCGATCTGTATAAGATGATGTTATCGGGTCCTGATAATGATTAATAAGATTGTAATTATTAACAGGTTAAATGCGGTCATCGGTACACGGAAAGAGAAGTTTGATTGGATTGAAAATTTCTGGTGAAGCGCGAACGAGCCAGAAAATTTTGGTTAAAGTTACCAGAATTTTGTTCAAGTTAAGTGGAAAACTTGTTAACTTGAACACAACTCTGGTAATTTTAAGAGGAATTTCCAGTTCACATTCATATTTCCAGAATTTCCAGAGAAATCTGATGAATCCAACCGAACTTATTATATGTACAAACCAGATGACTGGTTGGAATCAAGCCGACCACGGCTAAGGGATAAATTTCTAGTCGGGCGACGACCAGGCACGGGAAACACCGGTGACTTTCGCGCGACCGAGTTCCCGCGGATATTTCCAAGTTGATTTCTGATGGACTTTTAAATGATCCCGCTCGTCGTCGATTAGCGCCATTTTCCATTCAGATAATGCCCGAAAATCGCATTACGTTCGCCTTTGATTTTCAACGGCGGCGATGATTAAAGACGCGCGACGGACGTAAGAGCGCTGTTTAATAATTCATGATCGCACGCGCCCGCGGAACAGACCACGACGAGTATTTCAGGCGAGCAAGAGGGTCGAGGTGCCACATTCTGCCGACGTCGTCGTCGCGGGTTGCTACAACTCTACCTCATCCGCTTCTCTCTACTCTTTCCGCACAGAGAGACGTGCGCTCGCTAACTCGCGCGCGCGTTTCCTTCCCACCCCCACGCGGTCTCGCGGCAGTGCCCGAATTTTGAACATTAGTTTGCGAACCATTTAGCACAACTACTCTACTGTCGGCCTCCACTTCTCGGCCTTTCTCTCTCCCTCTCTCTCACTCACTCACTCACTCACACACACACACACACACACACACACACACTCTCTCTCTCTCTCTCTCTCTCTCTCTCTCTCTCTCTCTCTCTCTCTCTCTCTCTCTCTCTCTCTCTCTCTCTCTCTCTCTCTCTCTCTCTCTCTCTCTCTCTCTCTCTCTCTCTCTCTCTCTCTCTCTCTCTCTCTCTCTCTCTCTCTCTCTCTCTCTCTCTCTCTCTCTCTCTCTCTCTCTCTCTCTCTCTCTCTCTCTCACTCTCTCACACACACACACACACACACACACACACACACACTCTCTCTCTCTCTCGCCTCCCTGTGAAAGCGTAGTTCGAATCACGCCACTGCATACATCGCGTTCCCCCTACATATAGATTCAACCGCAACGTTCTCGCTACCGGCGGCATAGTCATTGTGCATTAAGCCTTGCGGAGAAGTCCGGGATACGCGTGGCGGCCTCCCGGGGGATACAACGGCTTCGCTGCGAGCCAAGAAATTAGCCTTTCTTGCAATTTGCGGAATCTGCTGAACTCCGCGGCGTCGGTGAGCTTCGAGAGGGTGTGCTACCCCCACACGCACTTTTCCGACTTGTTTCCGAACGTGCAGCGCGTATTTCGCAGAGATGCGCGTGGATATTTCGCGCGGAACTCGAGGGCATTTTTATTTTGTTCTAACAGAAATATATCTGACTGCGAAATGAATGTGTGTTCGATCACCCACTCAATGCACGTGGCCGATGTTTCCAAGCGCGAATTATTTAAAATTTGTTCTGAAAGCTTTTCCAAAGAGCCTCGTTAAATTCCCAGCACTAAAAATCAATCAGACATTCTCTGGTCATTTCTCTCCCTCTCTCTTTCTCTCTCTTATGCCTTTACATAAAAAATACCCGGATAGCGGTCGTTTTATGTAACGCTGAACACGTTGGAAATTTGCTTTCCTTAAAGGACCATTACGTTAGGACGTAGCGATAACAGAATTAACGCTGGAGAATTTCCGATAGGATAATGGCTTTAAATAAATTACAAAGCGATGAAGCAAATTTCGTGTCATAAGTCGAAGCCGTTATTTTACAGACTGCAGTTTGGAGATCGCACTTTCGAGCGGGTTTCGAGAGCAATTTTATAAAAATAATCTTCAAACATTTTCATAGTCAAAAAGGAAAAAAAAGAATAAAAAAACATCAATAGCCCGCTAAAAATTTTACTCGTGATGAATATAGCGGAGAATTCCGCACAAAGGCATACATACCAAACGGCGTACTTGATAAAAAAAACATAAATACGTAGCTTTCTCTTTGGCGAGATGTTTCGGCCACTTAAGATGAAATTAGTGCTGTTTGGACATGTACCTAACTCTGGATATTCTTATTTGTCTTGGTCTTTAAATTTAATAATTAAATTTAATAATATTTAACTTTTCAACACAGAATATACAGGATGAGTCACCTAACATTAGATGCTGAAATATTTCTGTTACTTTTTATATTAGCCCTTACAGTCCCTATATCCACAATTGTGTGGGTCAGGTTTTGCCGCTCTATCTTTTCCCCCGCTCTCGCTAAGTGATTCAGTCTGACATCATACAATTGTGGATGTTCTATTCTCCATTACGGAGCTTCAAGTAGTTGCAAATCTTGCCAATATCAAAAAATCAATATAAAAAATATTAAAATCAATAAATTTGTTTTTGTATTTTTGAATTTTCTAAGTCATAGAATATTTTTGAATATTCTAAGCCATAGAAATGCCCTAATAATATAAATAAATCAAAATTTTACTCTTGAGATTGAAAGGGTTAAAGAAAAATGTATGAGTGTGGTTGAAAGATAAATTGTGGTTATCCAAGCCTTCCAACTACACAATTTATTCCTTACAGATTTTCCTCTAATATAAAAAGCAAGACATTTTAGAATCTAACGTTAGGGGTGTGACTCACTCTGTGTATGTATATGTGTGTGTGTGTGTGTGTATATATATATATATATATATATATATATATATATATATATATATATGTATTTAAATATATACATATACATATATTTTATGTTGAAATATTTGCACCATTAAAAGACTAAAGCAACAAGAATGTGCAAGCTCAAATACGCATCCAGGTATTTTTTTATCTTAACATGTTAGTTTGCAAGCAGCCGTACAACCTTGTACCGGATACTGCATAATGGAGTTACGCTAACGTCCGAAATTGTGATATTAGCAAATCGCGCCGGTTGCGCGTCGTCTAACTCAGTTCCCGCGATTATACAGATCGGCGAATTCAATTATACGGCGCGTGTAATCGCCTGACGGCGCGCGATAACACGACGAAAGGCCGCGGAAAGACCTTTTGCTCGGATACTGCGAACTGGCTTTCCCTCGCTTGCTTTCGGCGCAGATTACGGCAATTCGGATTTCATTTAACATCGAGCGACCGCGCAGATCGCGCGCAATTTTGGGGCTCGGCGGGTACTTGTTATCGTCAAACTTGAGAACCGCGCTCGATCTCATATACAATTCCTTGAGCCCTCGTCCGGCGTCCGCGGCTTTCGAAGCTCCCCAGGGCCGCCCGGGAAATTAATCTCAAGCCGAAGTTCGGCACATGCTTGATTTTCGTTTCTCCCCGGTCGCGGTTTCGTTGCATTCGCTTCGATCTCGCGCGGAAAGCGAAATTATTTATTGGGCAAATAATGCGAAACGCCGAGACACAATGTCGAGGATCATGAAATTATGAAACGTTAAAGTCACAACCGTATAATAAACAGTAAAAATAAAATTTTACCATTATATTAAAAAATTTAATCTCTTAAAATATTATTAAATATTTAAAAAATATTAATTATTTATAATAACCCGTAATTTGTTTCGTCGCCAATTGCAATTACGACTGCGGCAAGCGTGTCAAGTTTTTGCCGTATGTTACCCCAAGAATTATATGCTTGCACTAGTTTATTATAATTTTTGAAAATTTAGTGATAAATATATATGCGATATTCACCTCGCGTCTCATATATATCATTCATATTATATAACTAAGTTATTTGTACGATTCTTTATTTTACACGCATATGCGTAAGGTCGGAAATCGTAGGAAACTTTCTTTTAAACTCTGTTTTATTGATAAAAATGCCTCTAAAGATGATTAGATACCAATCAACTTGTAAGCCACATTCAAAGAGATTTTTGTCGATAAAAGAAAGTTTAGAATAAGAGCCTTGATAAATAAATATTAAGACATGTATGACATGTCTCAATATTTACATATCCAGTATTCGTGACAGTAAGATTAGAAATATAGATCTTTGTTTCATATTTTAGAAGTCAATAGAAATCGCAAGATGCGCAAGTATCACTCGATCATAGACATAAAAATGGCCGCATTGCAATGCTCATTTGAATTGAATTAGAAGCGCTAAATCGATTTCCAAACGATGCAACATATTATCGACACAAACACACAGCGCCAATTTTGACGATTTCTATTAGAACATGATGATTCTATTGGAGCGTAACGGATATATTGCTTGTCTTGTGAAATATTTCGTACGCGTCAAATACACTTTGTCATATTAATATTTCTTATGTGATGAACATGGCGTTTGTCGTCGAAAATATGCGGATAAGCGAAACAATACCGTCGGAACTTTGCAGAGGTTAAGCGTCGTTGGAAAGGACAACAAATACCGTACGCGCTTATACTCACTATAAAAAGTATTTCAAATAAGAGTGTTTTTTGCTGTTGTTATGCAGAGTTTTCTAATCGCGCGGGAATGTTTTGCGAGCGTCGCGGCAAAGGAGAACGTTCGAAAATTCGCAAACAAGCGATCGTGTTAAATGAAAAGTCGTGTGCAATGACTTACCGCACTAGGCGCGACGAAGGTTCAGCAGTGCAGCAGTAGATCGGCCAGCAGCGGTACGAAGATCCTCGAGGACATAACTGTTGCTCCGTGTCGAGTGGTGTCGGACGCCGAAATACGTTGACGCGCGCTCCCCGCGGATGTGACGCCGCGTACCGCACCAGTGTAGAGATAGTGGGAGACTGAGGCGCGCTAGTCGCGCGAACCCCCTCTTATTGGCTAGCGCTTACGCGTCTACTCGAGCGCTGACCCCCACTACTTAACGGCTGACTTCATCCCATATATCTCCTGCGTGACTCGCGCGCGATTATCTGCTAACAAATCTCTTACGTTATTACGTACAATTATACATTTTTATTATTTAAGAAATGAAAAAGTGTCGAAAGTAATAAGAACGACAAAATTTATCTCCTAAAAAAAAATGTGATTGAGAGCAAATCATGACGCAAGATTCGATGGAAAGTCTATGACGAAGTTCAACAAATGTAAAAACCCGTATAAAATAATAATTTTAATTTTATGATTGACATTAAATAGTAAACCTGTGATGGACCTGTGAAGCAATTGTACTCAAAATTTTATCATTAAATTTGGTTATTTGATACGCATGAAAATTCGTGAAGATTCTTTTCAACCATATTATGAGAATTTAGGATAATCAAAAAATCATTTTAAAATATTGTCTAAGTAAATATAATTGTCGACGAGAGAATTTTGCAGAAAATGTGTGTTTAAATAAAAAATTACTCAAAGGATAAATTAATACGTTTGCTACCACACGGTTTATTTTGGGAAATTTCCTCACAGGTTACATTGTATTTATTTTCATGTAATTGCGTAAAACAAATTTATATGGATATAGGGAGAATTCTCGCTGTCACACGCACACACACATATACACATATGACGTTGGTAGCAAACGCGTTAAGTAGAATTGAAAATTTTTAATAGACAACTTTGAAGTGAGAAATTGGTGCGCATCACATATGTGTGACGCTGATAGCGAACGTGTGTTAATAATGATGGTATGTAACAATATATAATCACCTAGGAAAATGATGGAGGTTTATGAGTAATCACGTACAAAAGTCTCTTCATGTAGAATTCATTTGAAAATACCATAAATATATTATATGTTATATATAAATATAACATATAAATATTATATGTTAGATATTATGTTATATAAATATACGAAGCATTGTGGCATTAGACGTTTCCATTAAGGTAACTTTCTTTTCGCAGTTTCTTCGTGCACCCTAACGGGAAGAGTGGAGCGCGGGCCGCATTTCCATACATTGCCGTCTTTATCGAGTATACTCGCACTCGCTGTAATCTGATATTGACCACTACTGACGCTACTGCCAGCATTTGTCGAACCGACCGGGTATGTTGCAGCCATAGATCCAGGAGATCCCAAGGAAAGCAGAAACTCACAAGCGAAGAAATCGCGATGAGGTATTACTGTTTGCTGCAGCTCATTCATGTTAGAATCCTGTATATAAATATTGCTTAAAAATCGCGAATAAATCCAATAAAATTTTCTTGATAGATTATAGTTGTGTAGTTATAGTATAATAATCACATAAATCACACAAATAATAATATGAGACGTTTTCACCTTACCTTCTGGTCAGTATTTATCTTTGAGGGTGGCGTAGTCGAGATAGAAATGCACACGGCAGCGACAGAACGGAAGAGGGACGCTCGTCGACCATGTCGCAAAACTCCCTCGACTTTAAGCGCCAATTGACTACCCTGCGGAACAGACACAGGTTCGCCGAGAACACGTGGTTGAGGAGATACCGACAGTTTCACACTAGTTGCCTGTAGAGCTTGGAAGAAGTAACGTGGCATCGGCAACCGCATCGTCCCATTAGCGAGCAAAGTTGTTTGCAATATCAAGCAATTGATTCTCAAATGACTCACGGCACCGACTTTACCCTCAGTCGTCGTAAAGGATGGTGCTAAACGACGTAATTCGGCGCAACACTGAACTAATTGTCGCATTTCCACGGTTCCGCCAAAATTAAAGGCCATTTCGCCCTGCAAATCCATAGTTAATACGCCAAGTCCGCCGCAAACTCGTTCCACACTGGTCGCCATTAATTGACACATTTCTTGTAATCTACACGAGACAAGTTAAAGCAATATATGATGCAAGCGACATTCGATTGAAAAATATTCTAAAAGGATACGCCCGAATGTTCGCCAACGATCCCGGATCAGCGTCGAAAGCCGACTGATATAATTTCTGGTAGTTCTCTGCGCAAGTTTTCAAATCTTGCGCGGATTTTCTTAACTGAAAGATGTGAAAAAAGCAATTTATAACTTATATTTGTAAAAATTTATAACATAATTGTGTAAATTATACCTGGTGCGTGACACGTCCATATCTCTGAAGCTCGTCTTTTGTTGTGTCAACAACTGTAACAGCTATAGCAGGTGGTGGTGCAGTGCACAAAGATCTAGAAATAAAATCTTTATAACTACTCTGCTACAATCTTTTTAATCGGACACTATATTGTCACTTACATGCACGAGTGTAACAGCTGTGCTATAGTTTGTAAGAATTCGCAACGTAATTTGGAGTATTCGCTCGCAAATTGTAAACTACGTAACGGAGTACTGGCAGCTTTAAGAGACGCACAAGCACTCGCATAATGCGCTATTGCTCCATTCAGTTTCTCCACAATCTTCATTTTACTCACAGTCTCTTGGTCTCCAATTTTATCTCTTTATATGTAAACATTATCATATAGAAAACATACAGATATAGAAAATAATGCATTAGAAATACGAATGAAATAAACGATATACATACATGAGAAAACATTCTGCTTTTGTAACCAATTCCAAGCCAGACAACCAAAAGTGCAGTTGTTCCGATGCTACAGCTTCCTTTAAACTTTTGAATATTTCAGTGGCGATCGCATGATGTCCATATCTTGCGGCACTGCGTGCAATTCGATATTTAGCCCAGCCATCTATGTTTTTGACAACATCATCGATTGCCTCCAAGCATTCCGAATTCCACTCATATCCCCCAGCCATCGTTTGAAATAGTAATGTACATAACATCACCTTAAATTATAAGAGTCTTAAATAAGAGTTTTATGAAATTTTATAAAATCGTTTACTAAAAGACTAACTTTTTTTGGATAAAGCAGACAAATCTATATATATATATATATTATGAAAGAATCATTTACCTTGGTATGAACATGCGAGGTCTGTTTAAGTTTTATTAAAATATCAGGGAGAAGCGGCAACAATACATTTTCTACTAAGCTACCAATGGCACCTAAAGCTTCGCACAGAACAACCGTTTGCTTCTCATTTTGATCATCTTCCGCGCTGGCGTTAATGAGCGTGGAACCGATTGCGTCTACGAACACGGCGCAATGGTTAGACTGTGATTGACATAGTTTCACTGTCGAACGTAAGCACGCTTTCAACTGACGTAAATGCTTGTCATCCAAAGCCAATAATACAATCAAAGACTCGAGGCAGGAAATCACGTCCTGTGTGCCATAGACAGGCAATCTTTCTTCATAACTGTCGACATAATAATTTTTATCAAATATTCATTCTCTGTACAGAGAATATAATATACACATACCAATAACAAGCAATCCGAACAAGTATAGTAGTCGCTTTTACTGATACAAATAGATCAGGTGAATAACAAGCATTTACACATAATTGTAACAAGGGGCTATCTTCGTTCATATTTGCGTCACACGTTACGGCATTCTGGCTAAGTACCTGCATCGAAGAAATGTAATATATATATGGGTGTGTGTGTATGTAAGAGAATATTGTAAAATTATTTGCAGCTGAGATTTATATAAATTTATACTGACCTCAATTACGTCTAAAGTACGGATGAGTAGATCTGTATTTCTCGTACCATCTTGCAAAAGTGTCGTGGTACTCTCTGAGTTATGAAATATTGCAATTAATACAATTTGTACAGATGTTAAGTCTTTAAGATATAAGCGATATATAAATAACATTTACCAATTAAATTGTTGAGAGCACCTTGAGGCCAAAGATGGGCTCCTCTTCTCGCTAAGCTATGCAGAAGATGTAGAGCATGACGTTTGACTGACAGTCTTGGGTCATCTTGTAGATAGCGTAACAATAATGCAACTTGTTGTGGAACATCTATTAGAGTCGCAGAAGCTAGCGTACTTAGTGCACTTAGGGTAACCTTGACAAAATCAGCTGCTGGATAACTTGCAAGTAACTCCATACATAATTCATTTACCTTCAATAACATAATTATAAGAATTTAATAACAAAAACATAGATATCAAATTTTGATTATAGAAAAGATATATTACCATTGATGCTGTGAAAGTATCATGATGCATATATTGCAAAATGGGTATAAGCTGCAATTTCATAGAGGCTGGTGTAACTTGACCTCTAATCATGTCTGAAATCTTACTGCACATAGATACAGCGAATAGTTTAGATTGTGCTGCAAACATTTGAGCAGCATATATAGCAGCTTCTACCTCAACAGAGTCATGGGAATCTAAGGATCTTCTAATGCTGTGATGCACCTTGCAACAGATATTAATAATTAGCACTAGCTTTCAAAAGTTACAGATTACACACTATAGAATTGAATATTTTGTCAAACAGTAGTACCTGTTGTCTCTCAGGAATAATACCAGCTACACTGCCTAAAGTACGCAGAGTTAGAGCTCTGGCAACTGGATCATTCGAGTGTATGACACTGAAGATACGTCGAACAAATTCGTCTACATTTAAGATCTTATCCAAATGCTTTTCACTCTGCTGACATACCCTTAAAACCCATACTCGTAAGAAGTTACTTCCTGTACGAAATACTTCCGCCAATTTCAACAGAGAGGAATTTATCAGTATTGGAAAAGGATATTTTTCAAATAGTCTAGGGAAACGTACTATAGCTTCACATTGTTCTCCAGTCTTTGCAGAACGCAAACCTGAAATACATTAATAATTTATATTTAATTTATATTCTTTATATGAATATTATGAATGTACAGATTGAAAAGTCAAAAGTATAAACTAACCTTTATCGAGCTCTATAAGCGCCGTATTTGCATCCTGTTCGGGTTCCCCGAGACCAGTATCGTTAAATGCATTCATTCTCATACCAATCATGATTCTCACAACGTAAATTTTACATAAAAAATACTCAAAGAACCATACTGTTACTTATAGTGTATTATTATGGATATATTTTGTATGTTGTGTGGGACGTTACCTAATTTCCTACTCGTCAACGTGCAAATCGTTATCAAACCTAAGAGCAGATTTATTGAAGTAATACATTTTTACAGACATGAAAGAAATCACTTTCGTGTGTACTTACTATGTAAGCTGTCGAATCGAATTATTCAGAAACAAGATTCACCTAACCTCTCATACAGTCATATTGTTTAAAAATAAAACCTTTCAACCTTTCGTCACTCATGACGTATGAAAATTAATAATCATTGCACTATTGTGTTCTTTTTATTTTTCTTTAAATTTTTGTACTCGTAAAAAATATGTAGTTTTCGCGGTTGTCTCGTTGTCCTCATATAGGTAAAAAAGGACAAACCTAGTGTGACATCTTTCGTTCTTCTCTTGCGGCAATTCTGGATCGAAATTCACGACTGTCGACAGTACAGTTGACAATCAAGCTATCACAAGTGTGATAGAAGGATCATCGCTCCTGTAAAATTAAAAGAAGAGATTTGTAAACTTCTACGTCATATTCACAGTGAAAAAACAACTGGCCGAAGTGTCACAAAAAGTTAGTAACTAACGAATAACGTTTTACTCAAGTATTGAACGATAGTTCCGGCCTAACCGCCGTGACGACAAGACATATTCTAACACGTCGTCCGAACTTTCGGATCGGATTTTTGTGAAACTTGGACTTCGGTATCTTGGCTGAAAGGGCTAACGTAGAATCTTCTTCTTTCTGGTAGAATCAAGTCTGAAAGCTAAGTGAAATATACAAAAGGAAGGAAGAAAGTATTGAACGATGGTGGATTACAGCAAGTGGAAAAGCATCGAAGTAAGAACACCATTCGTTCCGACACGTTTGTAGAATACTCCACGTTAACCTTTAGACTACCGGGAAAGCCACAAAAGTGGCTTTATGGCCACAAAAGTGGCTTTCCCGACAGTCTAAAGGTTAAGGGCCGATTTTTCCAACCTCCTAGTAAACTAATAGTTAAATCACGTGTTTACCTTTGTTTATTCTTCAAATTAGACAAAAGCAGGTATATAATTATTAATAAGTTTACCAAGATGTTGGGAAAATCGGCGTATGGTTTACCCGCCGGTGACATGACATGTTATAGTTAAAGCATTAGTATAAACCAAGTTTCAAACTTCTGTTACATGTATAAAAAAGAACTTAGGATAAAACAACATTCTTATATATTGCTACATATTTCAGTACATAGTCCAGCAGATGTTTATTTTTTATTAGAAGCCAAGTTGTTTTTTATAATATAAATCAAATTGTACATTATACCAGTAACAAATTATAATTCTGCTGTTTTTTTTTCTAGATCTCAGATGACGAAGATGATACACATCCAAATATTGATACACCATCACTATTCAGATGGCGGCATCAGGCACGAATTGAGAGAATGGAAGAACGTAAAAAAGAACATGAAGAACATGAAAGAAAAAAAGCAGAGTATGAGCAAAAACATTACTTAGAAAATATTGCTCTGTTGGAACTAAGTTAAGATCTTATCTAATATTATCATTTATATTTCAGGACATTAAAAAAACTAAAAAACACAAAGGAAAAGCTGGCTAGATTAGAAAGTGAACAAAAAGATTCAGGTGATTTAACTGCACTGAAAAAAGTTCTTCAGGATCTTGAGGAGGAAGAAAAAAAGATTAAAGAGAGGGAGGATGAAATAGAGAAGAAAGAGAGATTAACACCATGGAATGTAGATACTATTGGTCAAGATGGCTTTACAAAAACTGTGATAAATAAAAAGCCTCCTAGAAGTGACGATGATTCTAGTCTGTCTGATGAAGAAAAAGAGAAACGAATGAAGCAGTTTGTCAAGGAAAACGAGAAGAAGCTCAAGGAATTCGGCATGCTGAGAAAGTATGACGACAGTAAGAAATTTCTGTTAGATAATCCACATTTGGTTTGTGAGAACACAGCTAACTATTTGGTCATTTGGTGCATCAATTTGGAGATGGAAGAAGTGAGTAGTTGCAGCCAAGTTTTTAATATTATTATGATTATTTTTAAGGGAGATAAACACTGATGGTAAAAAAATAACTCTTTTTAGCGAATTTTTTGTGACGCTTATAAAGCAGGTAGATAAATAAATATTTTTGCATTAAATTAGTTATCTTTTGAACTGTTGAAAAATATTTTTCTATTTGATAAAATACATTTTTATTTTGGTATAAAATATGTCTATAGTAGGCTCTGCAAGCTCCATCGGCCCTGCACCTGGAGTCCTTAAAAGTCATTTAAAATAAAAAAAAAAAACCCAAGATTTTCTTAAAGTATATGAATGTAGTTTCAATTAAGCGTACAGGTTTTTTACCTTTTGTACGATTGAAATTTCCGCTCAAAAAACGGTATTTTTTTGGATTTTCGAACGATTTTCGAACATTTTTCTAAACATACGCTATTTTGCGAACAATTAAAATTTCCGTACGCTTAACTGAAATTACATTTATATACTTTAAGGAAATTTTGGGTTTTTTAATTTCAGACTTTTAAGGACTCCAGGTGCAGAGCCGATGAAACTTGCAGAGTCTACTACAGACACATTTTATAAGTTGAAAAATATTTTTTAACAATTTAAAAGACGACTAATTCAATACAAAAACATTTATTTATCTATCGGTTTTATAGACGTCACAAAAAATTCGCTAAAAACAGCTATTTCTTTCAGCTATCATAGTGTTTATCTCCCTTAATAAAGAGAAGTAGACTTATAAGCCTTTGGTCATATTGACTTACAAAAAAGGTCTTTTGTAACTTTCCTTAAGTTTCCAATGACACAGGTAACGATTGATTTCGTATTGCAGTACCATATATTTTCAGAAACATGACCTGATGGAACATGTGGCTCATCAATGCATATGCATGCAATACATACTGGAGCTGTCCAAGCAATTGGACGTTGATCCGCGAGCATGTGTTGGCTCCTTTTTCAGTCGCATTCTAATCGCCGAAGTGGAGTATAAGAACTCTTTCGAAGACGAGCTACGAGCATTTAAGGACAGAATACGTAAGAGAGCAGCGGAGAAGATAGACGACGCTGTTCGCCAGGCAGAAGAGGAGGAAAAGAAGGCTCGCTTAGGTCCCGGTGGTCTTGATCCCGTGGAAGTGTTCGAAAGTCTTCCAGAGGTAAATGGAAGTTTAGCTTGTAAGCCAACTTATGTAACATAAAAAACCGATATTACCGAATTGCACTCTATATATTTGTAAATTTCTTTTTTTTGCTAATTTCAGTCTCTACAAAAATGCTTCGAGACACAGGATATTTCTCTGCTACAACAAACAATAGCCACAATGCCAGGAGAGGAAGCGACATATCACATGAAACGATGCGTCGACAGTGGTCTGTGGGTTCCCGATGCGAAAGCCAAGGAAAAGGAGGAGCAGAACGCTGCGAAGGAAACGCCAGATCCGGAGTAAATGACGCATTTTTAATCGACTGCACCGTACGTAGGATACTCAGTGTGTGAAAAATCAATATCTCTCATTTACACGAGTATTCTTTGCGAGATGGATACGTTGAAATAAAGTCGTCATTAATGGAAAACGTCGGAAATACGATTATTATCTGCATCAACCGCTTTTATCGCGTATTATTTCACAATACATTCTATTAATTTGACTTGAATTAGTTTACAAATACTTTTTCGTACATAACAATCATTTGGAACATATACGAGAAGTGTAGCAATATGAATAAACCGAGTAGAATAACTATTTCTCATTTTTTTGAGCAAGTAACTAGTATTGAAGTGCTATATAATCCTCTGTGTATAACTTGTGTTGTTACTCAAATTGCCTTCTTATATATATATATATATATATATATATATATATATATATATATATATATAT